TGGGGGCATKCCCTTGGGAATCTGACTTTCTCTGGCCTCTTCTCTCTGCATCCTGGCTACTATGAGCTGAGCAGCTTTCCTCAGCCATGTCACTTCCAGAATGTGCCTGATCTGGACTGAGACCTCTGAAACCATGAGCCAAAATAAACTTCTCCTCTAAGTTGTTCTTGTCAGGTATTTTGGTRGCAGGGATGAAAAGATAACTAACACAGTGACTTTATAGATTGTTACAGGAAAATATAGGTAAAATGCCCATTTTTACTCTTCCCCAAACAAAGATGACAGCTGTTGACCCCAAGGCTGTGTGCAAGAACAGGGTCCACAAGGTGAGAAGTGATGTGCCCCAGGGAAGGGAAAGAGGCTTTACACCAGCCAAAGTAGCTGCAGGCACCTTGAGCTCCCAGCATGCTGTGGCTGCTGCCCTCCTCTTGTATGTGAGGCCACTTAGTCCACAGGAGAGTCCTGGGCACCAGTAACTGCCTTCCAGGCAGGGGAACTGAAATGCTGAAATCACACAAGTGGCAGGAAGAGGAGCCAGAATTGGACATGAGGCAATCTGGCTTTAGAGCCTGTGCACAGCCCTCTAAATTGTCCTGTTCYGGTGTGCTATAGTGTACTTAAAAGAAAAGCAGCTTCAGTTTCTTACTTAAAAGAGTTTCCCCTGGACCTCTGGGTGCTGGTTGCTTTTCCATTTTGCTGCTTGAGTCTTGAATCATTTTCCTCCAAACAGCACTTTGCACCAGTTTTGAATTTTCAGTGTTTATAAGGAAGTTTTAAGCTTGAATAGCTTTCTGCTATAAAGGTTTTATTTATTGTCTTCTCAAACATTATATCAACTTAATATGCCCTCCACATGACAAGGTTTTATGTCATCCTATAAAATAGTTAACTATGAGTACCTTTTATATTTGTAGGTTCTAGAAACCTTTTGGAATACCAGGGTTCTCTTAAATGACTAATTACCTCAAATCAGATGCTTGTGGAATGCCATCCGGCAGGCAGCTGGCGTCGTGTGAAGAGAGCCCAAGAGCTCTTTTTTTGCTTTGTTCATTTAAAGCCATTTGCTGCTTCTTTACTATCTGTGAAGAACCCAGTCGCATCCTGGCAGAACACACTGCTGTGAATTTTGGGTTGTCTCTCTGGGCTCCGCCTTATGGCTGCAGGGTGTTGGACACCAGTGCTTCCTTCCTTTCTGTGGGCATTAGGGCCTTTGCAATCCAAGTCATGCTGAATAACAGAAAACTGCAGGTGAACTGTCTCACCACAGAGGACTGCAGCCTCTTCCTCAGGAACCAAGTTGTTCTGAGCTGATGCTTCCATTCTTTTGCTGTGTATCCTAACTATATTCCTTCATTATTAAGGACAGGAGTGGGGCACGCTGCTTCTGAAAACGAGAGGACCCTGMAAGTCTGCCAGAACCTATGGTAAACTCACAGGATTCTTGTGTCCCATTCAGAACAGGAAAGATATGTCCTATCTTTTTAAAAAATAACTCTTAGCATTTCTTGATTACAAAAAATATATGTAAAAGTTTAAAAAAGAGCCATGAAAATATATTAACTCATAATTATACACTGGGTACCTATTTATATTATGTACTATTTGTATGAATGTTTGTCATGGTCTCTGCTTATATAAAATGTTTTCTTTGTTGATATTACTTCTGTTTTCTGTTTTTGTCGACTTCACTTGACAGCCTTCAGAGGTTCTTGTTTTTTAAAAATAAAACATGTATTTTACTTTTCCAATTTTTACTCAAAGTTGCTGTAAAATATATGCCAAATAATCTTGAAGGAATTGGCTCTCTACTCATTGGGTTCTATAAATTAAAGACTAAGCATCTGTGTTTGTGTAGAACTGGAGGGGAGAAAGGGAGCTTGGGCAGGTAGGCAGGCAGAATTATACTGGAAGTGCAGTAGCTGTTCTCTTCCTCTTGAGCCAGGGTAGTGTAGTCAGTTCTGTAATGGTGATGCACAATTCTTTTCAAATGTGAGCCTCAGGATACTTCTCAGTGCTGTAAAAATGAGCTTCAGTTAGCTGCCATTCTTACCATCTAGCTGCCATTCTTACCGTCCAACAATTTTCAGGTAATTGAGAATTAGTTGCAGAAAATTCACATGCCAAACACCATTTCCTTGTGGTTTCTTTTTTTTCTTTTAACTATAGTTACCTTTAGAAATAATATCATATGGGCTCTGAGCCCTGCTTCATCTGGTTTAGGATGTGTCCTGACATTTATAAGATGGCATAGTTGTGTTCTCTGATGTCAGTGCTATAAATCAGCATGGTGACACCGCCTTTGTTTTAATAGTTTTATTATTCAGACAACATTAATTTCTAAACTTTCAAAACTAACCCTTGAAGTGGGAAATTCTACCAGTTTACTACATATTTTATGTGAGATAATACTTCTCATTTGTCTTATGGATACCATTTTAAATATTCTGGGAATTTGATAACAGATCTGTAGCCACGCTAATCTGACTTTCATGGACAATTATATGCTAGCCCCCTGCAGGTTTTATAGCCAGGAGTGGTTGAATCATTAGAGAGATACGGACTTGGGATCCAGTAGACCGAAGTGTGAATCACAGGCTGACATTCTGACCAGCCACGTGGACTTTAATAAGCTGATTAATTTGATCCTTAGAATCCTCATCTGTAAAACCAAAATGTGCACTTGTTCTTCATGGTAGTTGTGACCATGCATGAAAATCATTCAGGGGAGAGCACCATGCTCAGTGCGGGGACCAGCACATGGGGGGTAAACACCCACTTCTCCCCGCTTTCCTCAAGAGTATGGTTGGTCGAWATCTGAATCTCTCCAAGCCCTGCATGAGCTGAAGAGCAAGTCAGCACCTAATAGCACATTCACGAAATGCTGTTTTTGAAAGGTTTAACTCAAAAATAAGTTTTCTGTATGTTACTTTTTTCTCCCATATAAAGATATCACTTGGTAAATGATGAGATGTGTGCCCTACAGATAGATCTCACTCAAGCCCAAAATTGCGTCTCATTTTGAGGGGCTGTCCTGCCAGGATCCTGCAGCAGAGCTAAACATCTTCAGTCCGTTGATGCTGCTCATTCATCCACATGAATCCTGAGTCTCTGAGGCATGGGACTCAGGATGGGGATATTAGCACCTACAGGGCAGTATAAGGGATACAATTAAATAATGTTTATGAGAAAATGTTGACCAAAGGATACGGAATTTCAGTTAGGTGAAATAAATTCAAGAGCTGTATTGTGGTACCAATGGTGAATAACAATATGTTGAATTCTTGGAAATCTTAAGAAGTGTTCTCACCACAAGAGAAATGATAAGTATTGGGGGTAATGCATACATTAATTGATTCAGTTTAGTCACAATGTGTACATATTTCAAAACATCATTTTCTACATGATAAATGCAAATTATTTTTATTTTTCAACTAAGAAATTAGTTAAAAATAAAAATGTGAAAGTACCGGATGAAACTTAAGATTTATACAAATGTCTGGGAAATTCCAAGTAAGACATTTGTTGTTTAGGATGAATTTGTTTTCTGATTTAAGGAACTGGCTCTTTCTTCCTTAAAACAAAGATTAAAAGGCAGGTTGAAGATTTATATAGATAGAAGTTTTATATATTTTTATGCCCACACAAAGATTTTAAAGTTTACCGTTAAAAATATTAAGGGCTAGGGTTGTAACTAAGTAGTGTGAGGCACTGGGTTCAATTCTCAGCACCACAAAAAATAAATAAATAAAATGTCTATCAATGACTAAAAAAATGTTAAAAAATATTTAATTGTGTGTGTGTGTGTGTGTGTGTATATATATATATATATATATATATATATATATATGTAAAATATTAAGGGTGCAGTGATGCACACCTGTAATCCCAATGACTTAGGAGGCCAAGGAAGGAGGATCTTAAGTTCAAGACCAACCTTAGCAACTTAACAAGACCCTGTCTCAAAAAATAAAAAGGACTGGGAATAGCTCAGTGGTAGAACTCCCTGAGTTCAATCACAAGTACAAAAAAAAGTTATTAAACAATATATTAGTTGAGCAAATATATAAAATACATAAATTTATAATTCCAGTGTTTTGAGTTACTTTTTTTCTGTAGAAACCAGTTGGTCCAGCTATGTATGTTTGTTTTCTACTTTATTCCCAAAAAGGACTGTCACAGGCTGYGTTCAGATCACAGTTGTCACACATGATCTGATGACAGGACTTAGACATGTCAAGCCAGTTCTTTCTGCTTTGGTTTTARTTCTGCATCTACATGCATTAGACACAAGATTCTTCAATAATCTTCAAATACTGCTTAAATTCCCCATTCTACGACTCAGGAAGCCAATTTCCTGCTGTATTCTCTCAACTTTGAAAGTCACAAAAAATGCCTGTTAGATGTTACCCTGACCTAACAAATTCTTGACCATGAGTCTGGTGCACGACTTGTCTGCTTGAGCCCTGCCAGGAGAACTCAGCAGTGCCTCTTGGTTCTGAATCACAAGAGCACTAAGGCCATCAAGTGTATTAGAAACGAGCCACAGGCAGAAATCCATGTGTCAGCTACATATGTGACCTTTAGGGACATTAGCAAAGTTCACCCCATTGGCTGTTTTCAGATCAGCTTGCCGATGGGGGCAGAATAGGCCAACAAATCAGGTTCCACCAACATCTGTTATTTCTGTGGGTATTAGTGGGGATAGCCAGACTGTCAGCGGTCACACAGGCTAAGTGAACTAAACACTCTGTTATCCTTTCGGAACTGAGAGTCAACTTTTAAGGAATATGATTTACTCTACAAAAATATCTGAACATGGACTAGGGCTGTGGCTCAGTGGTAGAGCACTTGCCTGGCGTGTGTGAGGCACTGAGTTCGATTCTTAGCACCATGTATAAATAAATGAGTAAAATAAAGGTCCATCAAAGTCTAAAAATAGTTTTAAAATTTTTTGGACACTTTCTATGTGCTAATGAGAGAAATACATTGTGTCATTTCAGATTTACAGTGTCAAGTAGAGGCCCTTGGGTTAAGACTTCAGAGGACAGTGACGGAGCTGGACAACTGTAAAGAAATGCTCACGTAAGCTGTTAACTATTAAACAGAGTGCAAGACTCCAGTGCTCTGTACATGTGCCACAAAATGAAGAATTTAGAAAGACCCCGGGTATGCTCTGCTCCCCGGGCAGCCCCTCAGCTGTGTGGGTAATAGTACGTTGCTGCTTTCCTTTGCTGTCCTTCTGGTCTAGATTGTACGCATTGAAGGACCTGTAAGTACTTTTTAAAACAGAAAGGGTTTCTTTCCTTCACTAAGAAAGTTATCAGCTGTTTCGTGACCTTTTGACTAAGATCAAGTATTGAAATTTACCTAGCAATATATTAATGTTTTCCCTGGTTGTTCAGAGGCAAACAATGTGAAATAGTCGCTGAACTTTTTTATTTATTTTTATACTGTCTATCTATAAGAAGTAGTACTGGAGTTGTTTTGTAACATGGTAGCTTCAAAAAGAAAGCTGAGCAGCTTGGAAATGCTGATGTATTTATATAAATGCAAAATAAAATATTAGACAACAAATGATAAAAATGACCTTGTAAGATATCCAGAGCACTACTGCTTTTAACAATTAATTCTTTTAAGAAATTTTGAAAGTTACTTTGTTGTCTAAACATAGCATATCTATAATTATAAAATTAAAATAGAATGTAAGTAATCTTTGAAATGTAAATAAATTCTTTTACTTTGTTATATATAATCTGCTAGCTCTGGTTTTCAGTTCCTATAATTTAGAGGGATGAACCTCATAAGAAATACAAATATTTAGAATGCTTAGCAACCAAATGTTTGTGTTGACCGTGGGCTACTCCTAAGAACAATGGGTTTAACAAAGTACTGGACACTGTAAGGAGGAACAAATCCCCAAAATGCTCCATCAAATTAATGCATACCTGGATTATTTGTAGCAAAATATGCCGCAGTCTGGCTGGGCACAAATAACCGAGCTGCCACAAAGCCTTGTAGGTTCAAACAGCAACCTTTATTCCCGAACTCTCACCAGCCCTCTACACACACTTCCCGGGAACACACTGCCTCCACTGGGCTCCGTGGCCAATTCTCTCAGAACCCCGACTAGAACTCAACGGGAACTCCAAAGTAGTGGGCGCCGGAGGCAGCAGGAATCCTCCTTAATCCCAGCAGGAGCTGCCCTATTCCAGGATCACCTTTAACTATCCCCTCTGGCAAAAATGCCAGGCGTCATTCTGACTAAACTGTGGCTCTCAACAAAAATAGTGTGGTTTTTGAAAGCCAAGAAAAATAAATATTCATGCTGTATAACATGGAGGTTAATAGTCCAGTAAGCCCAGCAGTTCAGCWGGCTGTCTGTGTAGGGTGGCTGGGGTGAAGCCGTGATGGACAGGAGTCCTTGGGGACACCCCACCCTGGGCCCAGGTAGTCAGCTTCTGGGAGATAAGAAACATGACAAACTGGATGGTGGTTGTAAAAGAAAAAAGAAAAGAAAAATCCTTGTTTCCCTCCCTCTGAAAGCAGAAGGAGGGCTTTGGCCAAGCCGTGGCTCTGGGAAAGCAGCCTCATCAGGCCACAGCTACCATGTGACATTTGCYTTCTGGAGCTCAAGAAGTGAAAAGAGCACAGTTCAGAAGCAGGGAGGTGGTACTAGCACTGGCCTAAGCTAAAAGGGAATCCGTGGGCACCCCAAGACTCAGCTGGTAGAGTCTTGGAAGTTAGGAGAGAAGCTAAACAGAGAGAAGCCTGCCGATGAGAAGGGCTACAACTTACGGTTGTTGCATGGAGAGGAAGTTTGCACAGATTCCTTTTTATATACAAGGAGCCATCCCATTTACAATTAACACATTCCTGTGGTAGTTTTGTTAATTATATTGTAAGCATAATTTGTGACATGAGTACTGAGAAATGATGGGGGTCAAGGTAGACTGAAGTTGTGGGAGAAGTACACACCCTCACCAAGCCCAGCAGGCTAATTACCTGCAGGCGATCCCRATCCCGTACAGTTGCAAAACTGCTGAACTGTGTTGGTTATAAAACCAGTGATTCCTACTCACAACAGGCCTTCTTGCAATGGGAAATTGGACAGAGTCCCCATTTTCAGAAAATGTGAACTATGAACGGCAACTTAAAATGCCTCCTGTCCTAGAGACCTTTTCAGTGCCGCCTGCCTCCAGCTCATCCATCTACACTGTTCACTTTCACTACGAGGATTCAGTTGGGGAGGGTGGGCAATTGGGAGCAGTGCCTGGGACTGCTCAAGTCTCAGGGTGTTCAGAAGCCAGGGGGTTCCCCATAGTCAACTAGTGCTCTTTTATTTACAGGTTGGAGGCAAATTTGTGGCTTGACCATTTTTTAAATGATTGATTTTAAGTAAAAAATAATTCACTCAAAATTGGTAGAGCTTGTTAATAAGTTGGAAAGTTACTGTGCATACTCAAACCTCTTTGGACTTCTAGAAATTAGAAAATGCTGTGGCATCTGTTTCCTTTAATTTTTATCCTCATCTTTTATAGAGGACTGGAAGTAGGAATGATTTTTACCTAYTCAACTTAGATAATTCTCTTGTTTAAATATTTGGATATACATTTTATAGATTTTGATATAAGACAAAGAAGCAGTTTACACATGGATGAAATTGGTTTTTATTTTTCCCTTTGATATTTTTAAGAAAATATTTTCTATAGGTTATAAAAACATTGTTGTGTATTTGGAATCAGAAATTCTTATCAATTAGGATGCTTTGGGCTCCAAGTAGTTAGTTGATCCAGAGGCTCAGCAGTGTCTCCAAGAATCTTGATTTTCTCTCTTTTCTCCATCCTGCTGCCTTCAGCATTGGCTTCTACCCAAAGCTAGCTCCCTTGTGATCTGCAGGTGACCGCAATTCCAGGTGCCATGTACATACAAGGCCACCAGAGGCAGGACGGGCCTTCTTTTCTGGTATGTCCTTAGAAGCAAGGAGAAAAGTTACCCAGAAGCCACCAATTAGACCTCTCCCTACACCCCCTTGGCTAAAACCCTTTACGCACCCTCTCCTAAACGAGTCACTGGTAAGGGGAGCAGGACAACCAAAGTGAGCTCACTCACGTCTGGCAGGCTCGTCCTGAGAGAAAAAGCAGGTTTGATCCCGAGGGCCAGGGAGAAAGCCGCAGTGAGGGCCAAGCCGCCGYGTGTCAGCTCTGAGGCAGAGCATGAACAGGGCTCTGCCACATTGATGGTGAGGCTTTCTACAAGCTTTATTTCTAAGAATCATAATATTTATCAATTAAGGGGAGTCCTCCCTGAAATAATGAAAAATGTAAAGACTGAAATTCATTTTTATAGCTTTTAAGTATAGGTATATATGAAGTGTGTCTTTATTATTTTCATGTAGATATTGAAGAAGTACTGTCCTAGATGGTGAGAGATTTTCAGGAGTTCCTGGGAGATGATGAATAGGAAGGGTCGACTCTGTGGAGGAGTAATGGAGAGGAAAGCCACTTGTGAGCTGGTGGCAGTGGGCATGTGACAGGCAGGACCTTTCTCGGAATCAGTTTAAGACCAGAAAGTGGAACCTGGTGAATCATGGGCAGTGGTTGTCTGACTCCCATCTGTGGACAAATCCTGGGGAGCTTGTTAAAACCCTGTACTACAGTGTGACCTCGTCCACTCAAGCCCAGAGTCAGATTTCATTTCCAGAGATGCTCCGATTTCACATTTGGGCCTACAGCATCTCCAAGCAATCACATTTTTGTGAATTCCCATGTGTTCTGATGTAGGAGGTCCACTGACAGCTCCTCTGAACATGTAGGCCAGTGGTCTACAGCAAACCCCTCCAGCCAGCTGGTATGAGCAGCATTCACAGAGGCATCTATAACCTCAGGCTAAAGCAGTGAGTGCAGAAGCTGGAGCCAGGGAGCTGGGGTACCCGCAGCTCAAGATGAAACTCAGTGCCCACCTCAGATAGCATAACCTGCTGTTTGTACAACCTCCAGAACAGCCGAGGGTGAAATGAACAGGAAAGCAGGCAGTCAGAGGCTCTTAAAGCTGGGGTGAACACACAATGAAAAGTTGGTGTGTAAGGAAAAACATACTCCCCACACACCCCCAAATTGGTTAGGGGTTGCACAGGGAAATTTTAATACCTTAGGAAATTGGTAAATAGCAACACAGGGATAACTGATATCCTCCAGAGTATGTCCAGAATTGTAGYCTAAAAGAAAAACTATTAGGAAAAAGAAGCTATTAGGAATTTGAGACATTAAAAAAGATCATAAAAATGAYGATCCCCCTTTTGTTAAAAGTGTATATGAGTGATAACACACATGAGGGCTTAAGTCCCCAGAGTGGATGTTTGGAAGGACTGTAGCAGCACCTCCGGGAGTAAGCAGGAGTGATCATGGGGTGTGTGTGCAGATTCTTACTTCATCCTGTATACCTACACATTGTGTAGTTTACAGTATAGATATGTTTGTTCTCATGTATGTCATCAAAAGAACAAATTCACTTAAGGTTTTGGATTTTGTCAAGTACTAATGAATATGGTGGTCCCCACCCCTGATCTTTAAGGGRATATATTCCAAAACCTGTGGATGCCTCAAACCATGGGTAGTACCTGACTTCTCATATAATATATATGTATGTACATGTTTCCTATATACACATAATGTGATGAAGTTTTAATTTATAAAATAGAYACAGTGAGAAATTAACAAAAATAACAAATTATAAAATAGAACAACAATCATAGTGACATACTATAACGGGACGTATGGGAATGTGGTCTCTTGATCTTGGAACATCTTATTATATGCTCCCTTCTGGCGAGATGCCTTGGTGCTGCATGGAGTACCGCAAATGAGGTATAGGCGTGGGGACATGTAGGTGTGGGGACATGTAGCTGTAGACCAATACAGAAGGGTCACTTAGTCACTGGCACTGAGGTGCCAGGACAGTCAACCTGGGGCTGGAAGTGGGCAGCACACACAGCATGGATGTGCAGAGAAGTAGGTGGTTTGCCCTAGGGCAGGATGAGATGATAAAGACATCTCATCACACTACTCAGAACTGTACACGACTTA